AGGAAGGAAGGAAGGAAGAAGGAAGGAAGGAAGGAAGGAAGGAAGGAAGGAAGGAAGGAAGGAAGGAAGGAAGGAAGGAAGGAAGGAAGTCTTTCTGTCATTAGACTGGAACTCAAGCTTCCTCCCAAAACCAGTTCTACAGGACAGGGATCCATTGTGGTGGCCAGTAATGCCATCATGGCTATGAAAAGGGAGAAGCCTTATCCCATGTGATCCTGGGACCACCCAGCTGAGCTAGAGGCAGCCTCATTGAGTCACTTGCTAACTAAAGAGGGACATGAAAGTGCCAGAACTTTCTGGAGGTTAGTCCTGCCCTGGGCATGGAGGTTGTGGCAGCTGCAGGCCGTGATGAATTAATTGGCTGATTCATGCAAAGCTCTCAGTTCAGAACCGTTATTGTCACTGACAGTGCCTTTGGTGTCAAAATGCAGAGCTCCTGAGCAAATTCGTGGTTTTTATCCTGATCGCTGAGGGACCACACCAAGACACTGTGGGTCACACACAGGGACTCCATGAGAGTTGTGGAGTGTTAGCATGGGAGTTTATGACTTCTTATCCACATTTTAAAAGACACTCAGTCTGCCCATCCTGTGCTCCTTCAGTGGCTTCATATCCTGCCTACGCTGAGTTATGGCATTCTCCTGGATGGGTGTAAGAGGCAGCAGGTCCTTTAAAGCCGGGTCCTTCTGAAGCATCCACAGGAAGCAGAGAAGCAGCTGGATCTTGGCTCTTTTCATCTACCCAGCTTCAGAACTCATTTTCCTAAAGCTCTGAGAGTTCTCTAGCCTCCTGGGGAGGGCCGGATGTGGGGTCTCATGGAAACCTATTTCCCTGTCTATCTCTCCTGATGTATTTGTGAGATCATAGCATTCGTCCTTTGAGGCATCCCTCCAGCTGCATCTGGAACTGTGGGGTCCACAGACACTAAATCCCATTGGACACTCCTTCACCCCACCCCCACTGCAGAGGCAGACTGAGCAAGCTCTGTCCTTGCCTTGAGGCCCTGGGGTGGGGGTGGGCGATAGCAAAGAGCTTTGCATCAGGATCCAGCTCCTGAACGTCCTTGATGAGGGCTGGGCCCTACGGAGAAATGCACCAGGAAGGAGGAATTCAACCAGGCTGGGAGTGGAAAGGGGTCCCATGAATACAAGAGGAGAGTCAGGGGCAACTAACCAGGATTTCCCTAAAGGTGGGTCTGGCCAAAGTGAGTCCTCCCCCAAGGATAGTGACTATCAAGACTGGGCGTGCCAATGTGGAGTGTTGGGGGGGGTCATGGAATGAAGGCCGTCTTCCAGGTACAGAAGTCATTACCAGCTCTGACTGCCTCTGCTGGGCTGTGGCCCCAGCACTTGCCAGGCAGATCTTAGCTAGAGCCACACTGTTTTCCTGGGTTCCTGTACATCCCTATGGTCTGTGTATCAGGAAGAGGCTCTCCGCAACTACATGCCCTCTCTCTGGCTTGCTTGCCATCCTGTCACGGTGAGCAGCACCTCCTCGCCTAGGTGTCCTCTTCACCTGCTTGTCTCCATCTCCCCTTTGCCTGTCTGGATCTGCTGAATATGTCTTCAGGTTAGGGTTCAGATTCTAGCCTCCTAGTTCCCCCAAAGGGTGGGACCCTTGAAGGAACCACAGGTGACCTTGAAGAGTGAGAAAGCAGGCCAGGATGATCTGATCAGGACCCAGCCAGAGAGGCAGAGAGCCACCACTAACGGGCAGGGAGGGTTCGGAGCACAGCTTGCTAAGGTGGCTGGTCCAGCCTCCAGAGGGCGTTTTCGGGGGCAGCAACTGAGCCTGGTGGTGCTCCTGCCATGGCAGTCCTCGGAGAGGGTCCAGCTGCGTGTGGCCACTGTCATGGGCCATCAGATCTGGAGCTATGGGTGGAATTTGTCCTTGGCTGTGCGTTGTGTCCTATCTAGACCTTTTACACGGGGTCTCCAAGGTGATCCCTGGAACGCTTCCCTGTTCTCAGTTTGTTATCAATCATGCCATCAAGCCCCTCCCCCACGGCGGAAGGAGCTGCCCCGGCTGTGGCTGGGATCCCCTCAAAGATCTAAGAGTCAGAGTCATGGTGCAGTTTAAATATACTTCCATAGCCGTCAGCAGCAGCAGCAGCAGCAGCAGCAGCAGCAGCAGCAGCAGGCAGAGAGCGTCGCCAAGGAGTGACAACATGTATTTACAAACGTGTCATTGTAACCCACAAGCTGATTCAGAGAGCATGAGCAAGAGGAAGTTTTTTTTTTTTTTTAAGGCTTTTCATTTTTGGATTGCATCAGTTATTTTGAAACAGTGATCTTTAGTCACAGTGATCAATACCAAGAGACGTCAGCAGTAGGTTGACGAGACATGCTTGCAGCAGCACCCATGCAAGCTCCTGGTTGTGACTGTCTTGTGACAGTCACTTGCGGGCAGTTGTGATAAGAAGTCTCCCTCCACGGCCTCCTGGGTTTATCTTTTATGTGTCATAGTTGACACAGGGAATCCATTTCAATCCGTCGATGTCCTCCTTCCATTCACGGTATCGCAGACAGTAGGATCTGCTGCTCTCTAGCACCTGATGTGCTCATGCCTGCCCTCTGGAGGCCAGGCCAGGAAGTGCAGCTACCTTCACAAGGACATTCACAAGCATCATTCTGGTCAGACTGGGAAAATGCATGTTTCTAATTTACAAACAGGCGGTGGCGTGGAGTCACTTGCCCAGGTCTGTGATGATAATGGAGGTAGACAAGGCAGTTGTTCCAGCGTACCCACTGTCCTGTTTGTGGCCAATCCTTGCGTAGTGAATCTGCAGTACTCACACGTGGTTCATTCCCTGCTTGAACACTACGCCTGCTGTATTACAGGTCTGAATTTGGCTGTCCTGTTTGTAGGCTTTGCAAGGACAGCTCTGTCCCCTTAGGAGAGAAGAGAACCACACAGTAGGCCTCCTGGTGTCCCTTCGGGTCAAATAAGCCAGTTGGAGTCAGGACATTGCCCAGAGCCCAAGCTACTACATCCTTAGGCTCTGGCTTTAGAAGGAGCCTTGCTGGCCAACCTTTCCTTTGAAGACCCTATGTTACCGGCCCCACACACTGCATGGTGCAGATTAGACGTTTCACGTCCCGTCTATTGGAATGGGGTCCCAGGAATGCCATGTCTATGGGGAGGCCAAGGGAGTATGCACAGTAGACATGGGCTCAGGAGTCTCCAGAGGGGTCACAGCCAAAGCAGTTGGTGATGGGCCTTGGAGGGACTTTGCCTGCCCTAGACCTGTTTCTTCAGCTGTACTTGGAGGGTCTGCAAGGCGATGGGGAGCAGAGCAGATAACAGAGGCCGTTCGGGGTCAGCTGAGGTTCTCTGCTCACAGTTTCTGACTCAGTGGTCTGGGGTGAGGCTCGAGAATGCACACCCTAGCAAGTTCCTGAGTGGTTCTGGTATAGGGTCTTGGCTGTTTGGACTGCTCTCGTGGTATATCTGAGAGCTACTGGTCCATTTCCCGACACTCTAGGAAACTATCTGAGGTTGGGTGACTTGGAGAAGAGTGTTTGGGCTTGGAGTCCTGGTCCATTACGGGCTGGGATGAGGGGAGACTGGCATCTGGAGAAGGCTTCTTGCTGCACTTATAAAGTGACATTAAGGCATCGTGTGACAAAAGGCAGGAGACGCACGTGTATGTCTCCTCTTAGTCATCAGAGTTCTGTCATGGAGAGCCCCAAGCAGCCTTATGTACTTCCACTCGCTCCTGGAGGCCGCATCTCTAGACACTGTCTTCCACCTGCCGATGCCTCCCAATAGGGAGCACATTTTGGCCCAGGAATGCTGGGGTGCCCATCTCTGAGCCATTGGCTAAATGTCAGCCCGTAAGGAGTGAGAGGATGTGTGGAGGAGGTCCAGGCTTCCCCTGAGGTACCTGATGCCCAGTAATCCAAGGGGATCCTGAACTCCCTGTAGAGTGGTGGTCCACTGCACCTCCAAGGGCTTCCCCATTGTCTTTGTCCTGGGCTTTCCTGTGTAGGCCACCTCGGCATCTCTGGATTCTACTTTTCTGCCTTATTATGGATGGTAATAGATCGTGGGCCCCACATAGTGGCCTGCATATTTGGTGGGTCCCACAAAGGTGACAGTACCTCTGCTTCCCCTGCACCACCCCCAGCTTGCCCATTCTTGGGCAGGGTGATTTCCCTCAGCAGAGGCTTCAGGAACACTGAGAAGCTCCAGATCCTCCAATCCTTGGGCCACCACAGTCTATGTCCCATGATCTAAGCCATGGCTGGTGGAGGATAAAGCCTGGTCACAAGGCCCCATGTGTACAGCCCCCAGGGGACAGCAGATGACCTCCAGGGCGAGGGACCAACCACCATTTGGAAGTGACTTGTTGATGTGGGAGCCTGTTCTGGTTGGCTACCTGGCCACTGGAGGATGGGACAGTTTTGAAAAGGCCAGTCCTGCTACCGGAAATGGTCCAAATGGAGTCATACCTGCCTCAAATTGGCATCCCCTGGTCAGGCCTTCAGAGATATTCCAGTTTGCTGGGGTTTGCAATATCCTCCGCCAATACACTCAAGGGCAGCAGTTTTCTTTTCTCTCACCTGGGCCCAGGCTAAGGCCACTTTAGACCAGCTGGAAGAGCCCACTCTATTTCCAGAAGCACCCCAGATAACTCCGAGACCACACTAGCCTGGCCAGACCCGTCCCTCTGGGTGTTTTACTCAGGGCCAAGAGGCAGGGACAGGCTTGGGGCTCCGTCCCTGAGGGGGACCCCAGGCTGGAGAAACCATACTCTTTCCAAGGGCGTAGAGGACTACACACACACACACACACACACACACACCCTACATTCGGAAACTGCAGGCCACTTCAGAGACTTCGAAGGCAAAGGATGGTAGATACGGGTGGGTGCAAGGTCCAAGCAAGCTGTGACAGTGACGGTCCTGCCCTGGTGTCCCTCTAACAGTGGCACTGGCTGGAGACGGCCCACGCCAACCCTACGCTCTCCTCACTCACACATTAGCTCCTCGGTGCTGGAGGATAAAGTGGGGGACAGTTACCGCCGGGAAACAGAGCCAAGAGGCAGCTGCCCCCTGTGGTCCTCGCTGGAGGCAGTTCTGTGAGGATGTGGGGCATCTGTGGGGCTGGTCTGGGGCTCCAGGGGACCCCTCAGCAGCTGTGCCGCCATGGAAGGCCTGTTCTGACGTCTCGCTCTCTTCTGTGTGTGTGCGTGTGTCCTGGCTGCGCCCTTAGCGTTTCCTTCGGAAATGACACTAGGTACAGGCACCATTCTCCCCTGCCCTGCTTGCTCCGCCCCCTCTACTCTGCCCCCCACCCCACCCCTTCTCCTCCAGGGCTGCCTGCTCTTCGCCCTGTTCTGGTTGCCCAGCTGCCTCCACCCGCCTTAGACCTCTCCTTAGTGATCCGTGTCTGACGGTGGTCCTGTCCAGCCTGCTTTGTTCCGTGTCCCCGGCCCGCTGACCCCCACATCCTATTCCCTGGACAGTGTCATACAGGAAGAAAGGCAGCACCCAGCCAGGCTCTCACATGGCCAGGCACCTCAGGGAGCCTGCTGGCGGCCTTGAACGGCCTGGCCGTGAGGTGGTGGGGGAGTGTGCTGCCGCCTGGCCTGTGAACTGTGTGTCGGTGAGGATGCTTGGAGGGAGTAGGGCTGTGGGGTGGCCATGCTGTGAGCTGAGGCAAATTCCCCCCCCCCCTCGCCCCCAACCCTGGAGGTTTCTGTTAGGATAAATGAAACAGATGCTGTCATCTTCCAGAGCAGGGGCCTATGGGAATTGTGCTGCAGAGGTCCCTAGAATAGATGTAAAGTCCTGGGCTCCCGGTAGCCACCCTGAGCCATCATCCTGGGAAAATCTGAGTCCTGCTGACACCCCAGCTGGATACAGGGACAGAGGAAAGAGCCCAAGGTTGCTATTCTCATGGAATTGCTCTCAGGAGCCCATGGGAAGCTGCTTACGGGCCACTGTTTCCACTCCAAGCATCCTCCTCCAGGGCCTTCCCTTGGCAGTGGGAGTCTCAATGGAAGGGGCGGGCTGAGGAGGGTTGGGCTCGTTTGGGGAGATCCCTGGTGATGTCTCCTTGCTCAGACTGAGGCCAGGGCAGCTCCTGCCCCTTCCTCCACCCTCTTCCTTAGCCGTGGTGTGTCCTCTGAGGGTTCTTCCCTTCCTCCCAGTCCACACTGTGGAGCTGAGGAAGCTGGGGCTGGCAGGCAATGGCCCCAAGGAGGGCCCTGCTTGGCCCTGGGTCTGAGTGAGGAGGGGTCAGCCCTCCTTGGTGCCACCCAAGCTTCCCAGCCTGTGACTCTGGTGATCTCCCTGCAGTTCTCCTCTATCTGTGTCTGTCTGCATGTTCCCGTCCCTGCTGAGAGCGACCCGACACGTCCCCTTTTGCCTCTGCTTTCTTCTAGGACCTTCTACCAGTTTGAAGCAGCCTGGGACAGCTCCATGCATAACTCTCTCCTCCTGAATCGTGTCACCCCTTACCGGGAGAAAATCTACATGACCCTCTCTGCCTACATTGAGGCAAGACACCCACATCCACAGCACCCCCTATAGCTTGAGGGACTTGCAAAGTGACATTGAGGTCCGGTGACCCCACTCTCTTGAGAACGCCTCAAGTCCTTGAGTAAACCCACATGCCTTGGGCAATGCTCAAAAGTAGTACACACCTGTATCTTTAGTGTGTGGGTTTCAGCTTTGAGACTACAAAATGGCTGCATCACCACCAGACATTGCATCAATATTCCAGAAAGTACAAAAATAGAAGTCCTTCGCTGCCACTCCTACCCCGGGGCCTGCAGCCACCAGGCTATGGCCAGGTGCGTGCTGTGGCCCTTCTCTGAGGCACACAGGTAGAGACCAGAATGTGAGTGCTTCCGCTTGGGCACAGCATCAAAGGAGAAGTTTAGAGACAGTGGGAGCCAAGCCTCCTAAAGGCCATCACTTCTCCATGGGGACAAATCACCCCAGATATCAGGTGTGGGCTGCCTCAGGGGCAGTGACGCAGTGAGCCTGGGAAACACAGGCCAGACCCCATGCTCGGGGCACATTTGCTGTGATATACCCACCATGCACAGCTGGCGTAGCAAGCACCAGCAGAAAGGGATTGGCTGTGGCCCTGTTAGAGTCAAGAGTGAGAG